GACCCAGCTGCCCCGAGGGCGCCTCGGTGTGCCCAATGCTCGCCTTGGCCGCGCACACCGCTAGCGCCGTTGTTCGCGAGTCGCCGCGCCCGAGGACGGAGGCGATCGATCCCGCCTCGGTCGGGTCGCCAAGCGCCGTCCCCGTGCCGTGCGCCTCGATGCGGAGCATGGCGGACGGCGCTTCGCCGGTCGCCTCGAGAGCTGCGGTGAAGAGCCGCCGCTGCGCCGAGCCGTTTGGCGCCGTCAGGCTCGCGCTGCGCCCGTCCTGCCGCACCACCACAGCACCGACAGGCACTGCCGAGGCCGCCGCCGACACGACTGCACCGCCAACGCCCTCGCTCCGCACGTACCCGTTGGCGGCCGCGTCGAACGTCTTGCACCGCCCGTCCATCGACAGCATCCCAGCTGATGCCGCAGCCAACGATGGGTGCGGCACCAGCTTGAGGCTCACGGCCGCCGCGAGAGCGCCGTCGCAGTCGCCGCTCCGCGCCGCCCGCCACGCGCCGTGCAGCGCCACCAGCGCCGACGAGCAGGCCGTGTCCACGCTCATGCACGGGCCCTGCATGCCGAGCACGAACGAGAGGCGGCCGCACGCCACCGATATCGTGTCGCCCGTCACCGCGTACACCGATGAGGGCCGCAGCGACGAGAGCAGCGCCCAATCGGGCCGCTCGATGCCGACGAAGACGCCCTCGCCGCCCCCTAGCAGCGACGAGCGGCGCGCGCCCGCCCCGTGCAGCGCCTCGTACCCGACCTCGAGCAGCAGCCGCTGCTGCGGGTCCATCGCCGCCGCCTCCGCCGGCGACACCCCAAACGAGGCGGCGTCGAAGTGCGCCGCGCCCGCCACGAAGCCGCCGTGCGGCACGCACGACCGCTGCACCTCGCTCAGCCGCGAGACGTCCACCGCCGACGACAGCTCCCAACGAGACGACGGCACCGCCCCCACCGCGTCGCCGCTCGCGTGCAGCATCGACGAGAGCGCGGCGCGGCCGGCGCAGCCGCCGGGCCACCGCCCCGCCAGGCCGTGCAGCCCGACAGCGCGGCCCGCCTCGGCGCCGCCCGACGGCACGGCGCGCGACGGCTCGCGCGAGCCCACGATCTGGCTCAGCAGGTGCGCGGCGATGTCGCGCGGCGTCGGGTGCTCGAACACCAGCGTCGGCGAGAGCGGAAGCCCCGTCGCCGCACGCAGCCGCATCGACATCTCCGTCGCCGCGAGCGAGTCGACGCCCGCCTCCATCAGCGGCGTGCCGGCGCTGACGTCGGCGGCGCCGGTGAGCTCGCGCAGCACGCCGAGCACGAGCGCCTCGACGTGCGGCTGCTGCCTCGCCGGCGGAAGCGCCGCCAGCGCGTCCGTCAAAGGCCCTGTTGCGGCCGGCGCGGAGGAGGGCGATGCCGACGGCGCGGCGGCCGCCGGCAAGACGAGCTCCGAGAGCGCCGGCAGCGACTCGTCAGGCACACACGCCCGCAGCTGCCGCACGCCCAGCGGGAGCGGCGAGACGACGCGGCCCGGCAGCTCGACCAGCCGCGCCAGGCACGCCGCGTACTGCTCCAGCGAGATGGGCGCCATGCCCCGCACCTTGGCCAGCTGGTCGAGCGAGACACTGGCGGCATCGAGGCCGGCTTGCGCCATGCCGGCGCCAGCCACGAAGGGAAGTTGCATGCTACACGCGGTCATTCCTGACGCGGCTCGACACCTTGCCAGCGCATCAAGGCTTGCGTTTGCGGCCGCATAGCTTGACTGCCCGACATTTCCCAAGGCCGACGCGATGGACGAGAAGAGCACTGACGCCGACAGCGTCCGCTGAGAGGTCGCGTGATGCATGTGCGCTGCGCCACCCGCCTTCGGCGCGAGAGTCGCAGCCAGCTTTGCTCGAGCCACTTGCTCGACGAGACCCTTGTCACTGCGACCCGCAGCATGTAGCAGTGCCGAGGGACGGGCGGCAGCAATGAGTGCCGCCACGTCGTCAGCGTCCGCGCTGTCGCATGCGATGATCTCAGTTGGCGTGGCCGCCATCACCGCACGCATGGAGGACTCAAGGCCCTGCCCAGCATGCGCCACGCGACCGCTACGCGACGAGAGAACGATCCGCGAGGCCCCACCCTCCGATATCAACCTGGCGCCGCGGATTCCGAGCCCACCGAGCCCTCCGCTGATTAGCCACGATCCGCAAAGGTCAGCCTTCCTCGATGCCGTCACCACACAGTCCCGGCAGAGACGGGCTGCGTGCCGAGAATTGCGGCCCCAAGCTATCTCTGGCTCGGCGCACGCAGCAGCCTCCGCCAGAAGCGCCCTCACCTCTGAGCTCTCAGGCGTCCCCGGCGCCACGTCGAAGCTGACCACGCGCATCCCTGGCTGCTCCATGCGCAGCACGCGAGCAAAGCCCCACACACCGCCGTAAGCTGCCCCGGAGAGCCTCAACGTGCTTCCGCGTGGCCGCGGCGATACAAGCCCGGCGGTGCGCAGCAGGAAGGGCGGCAAGGCGCGCGAGGTGCTCTCAATGAGTGCCTGCGACAACGCCAGTGCCGCAGCTAAGCAATTCAGAGCCGGCATTGTGCTTTTGGTCTCCTCTAGAAAGAGAGCAACGCCGCCCAAAGCCTGAGCCCCAAAAGCGGCTGCGTCCGGCGGTTGATCTGCGCTACAAACCTGGCAGGGCTGAGGGAAGGAGCGTACTACTGAGGAGGTGGCACCACGCGGCAGCACAACTAGCCACGGCTCCGAAGCGGGCCCGGGGTCGACCTCGGAAAGGCGTCTCCAGCCCGTGGAGTAGAAAGCGGTCGCGGCCGCTGCAGCGGGCGGTGAAGCCCACGGGAATGCCCGACGGCGAAAGCGAGGGCGCAGCGACCTTGCGCGAGGGGGAAAGGCCCCCGATTGCACCACGGCGTTTGCGATCGTGCCGCTGTACCCGAACGAGGACACGCCGCCGCCCATGGACGCACCGCCGAGGCCGTGCTGCTGCGCGGGAGCCGTCGGTAGCGCGCACGGGGCGCTCCCACGCAGCGCCTCGCCGACCTGCGGGTTGAGGAGCCGCAGCTGTGCGTTTGGCGGCGCCAGCCCTCTCAACAGCCCAGCCGCCAGGGCAAACAGCCCGCTCATGGCCGCCGCCGGCTCGCCGTGCCCGCAGTTCGCCTTGACGCCGCTCAACGCCATCGCGGGCCCGACCTCGCCCCGCCCAGACAGCACGGCGGTGGCGAGGGAACGCGCCTCGATCGGGTCGCCCAGAGCTGTGCCGGTGCCGTGCGCCTCGAGCTGGACGAGCTCTGCGGGCGACGCGCCCGCCTCCTGCAGCGTCGCGCGGAGGAGCGCCTGCTGAGCGATCCCGTTGGGAGCGGTCAGGCTCGCGCTCTTCCCGTCCTGGCGCACGGCCACGCCCCGAACAGAGAGCAAAGGCCCGCCCCCGCCAGAGGGCTGCAGCGCCACCGCGCCGCACGCCTCGCCGCGGCAGTAGCCGTCGGCGCGCGCGTCGAAGGTGTGGCAAGCGCCCAGAGCGGAGGTCATGCCGGCGAGGGCGATCCCGACGCTGGCTGCCGGGTCAAACATCATGTTGACGCCGGCCACGAGTGCGGTGCCGCACTCGGCGTGCTGGAGGGCGCGGCTGCCGGCGTGCAGCGCGGCCAGGCTGCTCGAGCACGCCGTGTCGAACGACACGCACGGGCCTTGCAGGCCGAGCGCAAACGAGACGCGGCCGACCGCAACAGAGCACGTGGCGGCCGTCGCCGCGTACACGCTCTCGCCGAGCGGGCTCTTGCGAAGCACCGCCGCGAACTCGCACGCCCAGATGCCGAGGAAGACGCCGACCGCGCTGCCGAGCAGGTCCGCTCGGCGCAAGCCGCTCCCGTGCAGCGCCTCGTAGCTGCGCTCGAGCAGCAGCCGCTGCTGCGGGTCCATCACCTTCGCCTCGGCTGGCGCGACGCCGAAGAAGGCGTTGTCGAAGAGCTCCGCGTCCTGCAGGAAGCCGCCGTGGCGCATGCGCCTCGCGACCACCTCCGGCACGTTCGGTGCCTCACCTGCCAAGCCCCACCGCACACCGGACTCCTCGCCCACGACGCTGGCGCCCGTAGCGGCCATGTGCCACGCCAGCGAGAACGACGACGCCCCCCCGGGGAGAAGGGCGCTGGCACCCACGATGCCACAGTCGCATGCCTCGCTGGCACTGACCGCCGTGCCCTGCACGTCAACGCCTGGGGCGGCCGACCGGCGAGGCTGGAGACACGCGGCGAGCTGCCGCGCCGTCGGGTAGTCGAAGACGAGCGTGGCTGGCAGCGACGGGGCACCCTCGCCCGCCGCCACCTGCAGCTGGTTGCGCAGCTCGACCGCGCCGAGCGAGTCGAGCCCCGCCTCCATCAGCGGCGCGTCCGCGTCGACCACCCCGCCCGCCGTGCGCGCCACCGCAGCGAGCACCTCGTCGAGCACCACGCCGCGAGGCGCCGCTTGCCGCGCGGAGGGCGATGCGGAGGCGGCCGCGGCGGCCGAGGCGCGAGGCGCGAAGGCGGACAGGAAGGCGGGCACCTCCCCGCCGCCGCCCAGCACGCGCGCCCACGACACCGGCAGCATCGCCACCACCGGCGGCGCGCTCGGGCCCACCGCCAGCCCGAGCGCCGCGAGGCCCTCTGCCCGGCCGATTAGCCCCCAGCCGGCCGCCTGCAGCCGCGCGTGCACCGCGCCGCCAGCCGCCATCCCCACCTCCGCCCACGGGCCCCACTGCACGCTCACGCCGGAGAGGGCCGCGCCGCGCCGCGCGCCCGCCAGCGCGTCGAGGCAGCTGTTGGCCGCCGCGTAGTTGGCCTGGCCCGCGCTGCCGAGCAGCGCCGCCACCGAAGAGAAGAGCGCGCAGCACTGGAGCGGCGTCGTCGCGGCGCCTCTCTGCAGCGCCCACGCGCCGTGCGCCTTCGCGCCGTACACGCGGCGCAGCATCGCCGCCGTCTGCGAGCGCAGCATGCCGTCCGCCAGCACGCCCGCCGCGTGCCACACGCCACGGAGCGGAGGCAGCGCCTCGCCGGACGCCGCCGCCAGCAGCCGGCCCGTCGAGGCGGCGTCGGCTGCGTCGCAGAGGGCGACGCGGACGTCGGCCCCGCTCGCTCGCAGCTCCAAAGCCGCGACGCCGTCGGCGACCGCGCCGCTGCGCGAGGCGAGCAGGAGCGCCGACGCGCCACACCCAGCCAGCCACTGCGCGGTGACAATGCCAAGGCCGCCCGTCCCGCCCGTCAGAAGCTGCGCTCCGTGCAGCCGCGGCTGGCCGCCCGCCTGCAGCGAGGCCGCCGTTGCCAGCCGAGGGACGCGCACAGCCTTACCCGAGCACGCGAGCTCGGGCTCACTTCGCGCGGCGGCGGATGAGAGGAGCGTGCGGAGAGAGTCGTGCAGCGACTGCCCCTCGAGGCGCACGCACCCGATCGGCGCGGCGGGCGCCTCGGCCCGCGCAGCGCGCGCGAGGCCCCACGCGCCCGTCCTCGCAAGCCCCGGCGCCCCTCCGCCGGCAAGGGGCGACTCGGACAGCAGCCAGAGCGGCGGCTCGGACGACTTGTCGGAGTTTGCGGCCAGCATGAGCTGCCTGCTTGCCGCCAGGGCAGCTAGCGGGGCCGTTGTGCTCGTCGACATGAGAAGCGCGTGTGGAAGAACGACACGCCCCCTTTCTTGCGCCTGCAAATGCGTGGTCTTGCAATGCGCTTCGCGGAAGAGGACAGCCATGTCGACCAAGCCCTGCCGCTGCTTCGGAGCGTCGATCCAGTCGGCTATGTAGAGGTGCTTCGGCTCCTTGTATGCAGAGGCTGGGCGAAGTGCTCGGACTTGGAAGCCAATCAGCTGCGTACAGGTCTCCGAGCGCGTGCCGCCGAGATCAATATCCGAGTCGCTTCCTTCGGCTGACGTCACTGTTGCAAGCAGATGGCCTGCGGATCGCCCGCACAGCCTCGCCACCTCGATGGCGAACGGCAATTTCGTGTCCGTCCCCTGTCCACGCGCGATTAGCGCACTCGCCTGCATCGCGCCATCCAGGTCAGCTACGTGCACGCTCATCCCTGCCAGGTCACGCCGCCGCTGGAGTCGCGCAACGGCCTGCCCCGAGCCCGCCCAAATCGCGGACAACGTTCGGAATGCTGGACCGTACGACAGCCCCGCTCCCGCAAGACAGCGATAGAATGCAGCCGGGGTCAGTCCGCTGACGCAACCGCTTCTGGAGTGGATGGCTTGCAAATACTGCTGAGGCCCTGCGGCCATGAGGTTAGCGGAGACCTGTCCAGCACAATGCAGAGTCGGATCCTCAACTCCATCGCCACTTCGGACTTCAAACGGCGTGTCCGACGCCCACGGAGAAGGGGTTTCGTCGATGGTAGAAGGCATGCGCTCGAGCAGTGCGCACTCTATCCAAGCAGCACCTTCAGCTCCAGCCTCCGACAGCGAGAGCGGGCTAAAGAAGAAGGTCCTGCGCAGCTCAGAGCCGACGCCGACGGAAGACACAGCCCCAACAGCCTCCAGAAACGCCGCGCCAGGCACCAGCACCCGGCCGTTGATGTTGTGGTCTACAAACAGAGCGTAGACCGACCCACTCAGCGGGCCGCGGAATGTCATCACACTTCCCGACGGCGGAAGCTCTAGACGAGCACTGAGGATCGGGTGCGGCTTGGAGAGCCAGGGATAGGCGCGCCGCGAAGGGGCTCTCAGCTCGTCGTGGCCAATGTGGATGGCCTTGAAGCGGCCGCCGCCGGAGGTCGCCACCAACGCGTTTGCGATCGTGCCGCTGTACCCGAACGAGGACACGCCGCCGCCCATGGACGCACCGCCGAGGCCGTGCTGCTGCGCGGGAGCCGTCGGTAGCGCGCACGGGGCGCTCCCACGCAGCGCCTCGCCGACCTGCGGGTTGAGGAGCCGCAGCTGTGCGTTTGGCGGCGCCAGCCCTCTCAACAGCCCAGCCGCCAGGGCAAACAGCCCGCTCATGGCCGCCGCCGGCTCGCCGTGCCCGCAGTTCGCCTTGACGCCGCTCAATGCCATCGCGGGCCCGACCTCGCCCCGCCCAGACAGCACGGCGGTGGCGAGGGAACGCGCCTCGATCGGGTCGCCCAGAGCTGTGCCGGTGCCGTGCGCCTCGAGCTGGACGAGCTCTGCGGGCGACGCGCCCGCCTCCTGCAGCGTCGCGCGGAGGAGCGCCTGCTGAGCGATCCCGTTGGGAGCGGTCAGGCTCGCGCTCTTCCCGTCCTGGCGCACGGCCACGCCCCGAACAGAGAGCAAAGGCCCGCCCCCGCCAGAGGGCTGCAGCGCCACCGCGCCGCACGCCTCGCCGCGGCAGTAGCCGTCGGCGCGCGCGTCGAAGGTGTGGCAAGCGCCCAGAGCGGAGGTCATGCCGGCGAGGGCGATCCCGACGCTGGCTGCCGGGTCAAACATCATGTTGACGCCGGCCACGAGTGCGGTGCCGCACTCGGCGTGCTGGAGGGCGCGGCTGCCGGCGTGCAGCGCGGCCAGGCTGCTCGAGCACGCCGTGTCGAACGACACGCACGGGCCTTGCAGGCCGAGCGCAAACGAGACGCGGCCGACCGCAACGGAGCATGATGCTGCCGTTGCCGCATAAACGCTGCCAGCAGCTGGACTGTTGAAGAGAATGGCCGCGAACTCGCACGCCCAGATGCCGAGGAAGACGCCGACCGCGCTGCCGAGCAGGTCCGCTCGGCGCAAGCCGCTCCCGTGCAGCGCCTCGTAGCTGCGCTCGAGCAGCAGCCGCTGCTGCGGGTCCATCACCTTCGCCTCGGCTGGCGCGACGCCGAAGAAGGCGTTGTCGAAGAGCTCCGCATCCTGCAGGAAGCCGCCGTGGCGCATGCGCCTCGCGACCACCTCCGGCACGTTCGGTGCCTCACCTGCCAAGCCCCACCGCACACCGGACTCCTCGCCCACGACGCTGGCGCCCGTAGCGGCCATGTGCCACGCCAGCGAGAACGACGACGCCCCCCCGGGGAGAAGGGCGCTGGCACCCACGATGCCACAGTCGCATGCCTCGCTGGCACTGACCGCCGTGCCCTGCACGTCAACGCCTGGGGCGGCCGACCGGCGAGGCTGGAGACGTGCTGCGAGCTGCCGCGCCGTCGGGTAGTCGAAGACGAGCGTGGCTGGCAGCGACGGGGCACCCTCGCCCGCCGCCGCCTGCAGCTGGTTGCGCAGCTCGACCGCGCCGAGCGAGTCGAGCCCCGCCTCCATCAGCGGCGCGTCCGCGTCGACCGCCCCGCCCGCCGTGCGCGCCACCGCAGCGAGCACCTCGTCGAGCGCCACGCCTCGAGGCGCCGCTTGCCGCGCGGAGGGCGATGCGGAGGCGGCCGCGGCGGCCGAGGCGCGAGGCGCGAAGGCGGACAGGAAGGCGGGCACCTCCCCGCCGCCGCCCAGCACGCGCGCCCACGACACCGGCAGCATCGCCACCACCGGCGGCGCGCTCGGGCCCACCGCCAGCCCGAGCGCCGCGAGGCCCTCTGCCCGGCCGATTAGCCCCCAGCCGGCCGCCTGCAGCCGCGCGTGCACCGCGCCGCCAGCCGCCATCCCCACCTCCGCCCACGGGCCCCACTGCACGCTCACGCCGGAGAGGGCCGCGCCGCGCCGCGCGCCCGCCAGCGCGTCGAGGCAGCTGTTGGCCGCCGCGTAGTTGGCCTGTCCCGCGCTGCCGAGCAGCGCCGCCACCGAAGAGAAGAGCGCGCAGCACTGGAGCGGTTGCGCGGCACATGCTCGGTGGAGACTGTGCGACCCGATCGCTTTGGATCCGAATACTCGGCGCAACGTCGTCGACGTCTGCCGCGGCAGCGTTGCGTCCGCCAGCACGCCCGCAGCATGCCACACGCCACGAAGAGTGCAGCCTTCGAGAGTCGGGCTGGAGAAGGCGAACAGCCGTGGGATCGCGACCGCATCGGAGACATCGCCGCGGCAAACCAACGCCTTTGCCTCGCCGGCCACAAGTTGGCGAGCAGAGGACTCGCTCACCTCACCGCTGCGAGACACGAGGATGAGGCTTGCGGCCCCACGCTCTGCGAGCCAGCTTGCTGTTAGGCTCCCAAGCCCGCCCGTGCCGCCCGTGATCAGATGCATCCCATCCATCCCGCTGAAAGCCTGCTGTCCGCCTCTCAAGAGCGCCTTTCTGAGCCGAGGCACATGCACGGCGTCGCACCTCATCTCGAGCTCCGGGTCGAGAAGCGAAGGCACGCACGCCAAGTGGGCAGTCACGTTTCCGGCCACTGTGAAGAAGAGCGGCACACGAGCCGACTCTTGCCTCGCACAGCGAACGAGCCCGGCAATGCTTGCGCCGCTGTGGGTCCCTAGGGACGCAGGCTGGCTCGATGCGTCGCTCGCGCTGCTCGCGCTGCTCGCGCTGCTCAGGAACCAAAGAGCCGGCGAGTCGACATTAAGCTGGACCACGCTCATAGCCGCATCCAAGGCGACCAACTGTGCCGTCGAGTGGGCTCCTCCCGCTGCGGTCGAGGCTCCTCCCGCTGCGAAGGCCACCGCGTCGAGCCGATCGTGGGTGGCTGGAGCGGCCGTGACGTGCAACGTGCCCGCGACGTAGCGCGAGCCCACGTGAAGGACGTGAGCGGGCGCGACCCTATCCGTGTGGGACGCCCATTGTACGTCGTACATGTGCCTGCGCGCACGCCGGCTCTCGAGCCAGCCGACCTCGAAGAAGCCGCCCTGGGCACCCTCGATTCGAACGAGCTCGGACATCGACTCACCATAGTAGCGGAGCGTGCCCTCGCGCCGCACGTCAACGCAAAGGTGGCTCCAGATCACACGATTAGCTGCAACACCCGCCTTGAGGATGTGGTACGCACGTACCGAGGATGCGAACGACCCCTGCGCGCGTCTGCCCGACCACCAGATGCCCGGGTGCGTGCACACGTCCAGCCAGGCGCACGAACGGAGATGGACGTGCTCCTTCTCGTGCCTCGCATACTCGACGAGGCCGAGGGTCTCGCCTGTGGCGCCTCCGCCCCAGGCCTTCTTGAGCTGTCGGAACTCGCCCTCGTACTGGTTGCCGATATTCGCGTAGAAAGTCGCGCCGTCCACGGACTCTGGGCAGCGCTGTTTCACTGTAGCGACCTCGAGGTTGGCAGTGGCGTCAGCCTGCCGAGGAATCAGGTCCATGGCCGCATGCGTGTCCCAGGACCCGGCCTCAACGGAGGAGGAAATGGCGAGCCTTGCAGTGGCCAGGTCTAGCGTCAGCCGAACGACAGGCGGGCCGGTCAACTCCACCTCGTCGAGGAAAAGAATGCTCTGGAAGGTGACGTCGGACAGCACAAAGCCCGTGTCGCCGTGTAAGGAGTGCACCAGCGCACGCGCCATCTCGATGTAGCACGTGCCCGGGAGAAGCTTCACCTTACCCACGCGGTGGCCGCGCAGGAAGTCAAGCTCAGCAGCATTGAACGTGAGCTCCCACAGTCGCTCGTCACCATCCCACCCTGCTTGAGGTACGCCGAGGAATGGAACGGGACGTCGCAACTCGGTCGAGCTACGCGGCGTTTGCGAGAGGCCGGACACGCGCCGGCGTAGAACAAGACGCGAGGAGGAGACGCAACGCGTTGAGTGCGACCGTGCAGGCGGCAGCGCGTCGGCTTGCGACAGCACCGCGTGGGCGATGGTGCCGCTGTACCCAAACGAGGACGTGCCGACGGCGCCGCGCCGGATCGCCGCGCGTTGCAGCGGCAGCGCCATGGCGCCGGCGCGGTTGTGCTCGCCCACCAGCGGGTTGAGGAGGCGCAGCCGCGCGTTCCCCACGCCCGCGCCGCTCTGCAGCGCCGCCACGCTCCGCAGCAGGCCCAGCTGGCCGGAGGGAGCCTCGGAGTGGCCGATGTTGGCCTTGGCTGCGCCCACCGCCACGCCCCCGCCCGCGCCCACCTCCGCCGCGAGCGAGCCCGCCTCGGTCGGGTCGCCCAAGGCGGTGCCCGTGCCGTGCGCCTCCACGCCGCTCAGCGCCGCCGTCGACGCAAGCCCGGCCGACGCGGCGGCCGCCGACAGCAGCCTTCGCTGCGCCGAGCCGTTTGGCGCCGTCAGGCTCGCGCTGCGCCCGTCCTGCCGCACCGCGCCGCCAGAGACCGTCGCCAGCGAGCAGGCGCTTGCCGCCGCATCCACGCGCACCGTCGCCGCGCCGACGCCCTCGCTCCGCGCGTACCCGTTGGCGGCCGCGTCGAACGTCTTGCACCGCCCGTCCACCGACAGCATGCCCGCCGCCGCCGCCCCGAGCGTCGGGTGCGGCACCAGCTTGAGGCTCACGGCCGCCGCGATGGCGCCGTCGCAGTCGCCGCTCCGCGCCGCCCGCCACGCGCCGTGCAGCGCCACCAACGCCGACGCGCAGGCCGTGTCCACGCTCATGCACGGGCCCTGCATGCCGAGCACGAACGAGAGGCGGCCGCACGCCACCGATATCGTGTCGCCCGTCACCGCGTACACCGATGAGGGCCGCAGCGACGAGAGCAGCGCCCAGTCGGGCCGCTCGATGCCGACGAAGACGCCCTCGCCGCCCCCTAGCAGCGACGAGCGGCGCGCGCCCGCCCCGTGCAGCGCCTCGTACCCGACCTCGAGCAGCAGCCGCTGCTGCGGGTCCATCGCCG